CTGCTCTCCATGCAGATTTTCTCCTCCCCAGAGGCTGCCACTGGAGTCCACAATGACAGGGGAGCCGAACATTTCCCAGTCAGTCGCCAGCCCTCAGCAGAGCTTGGCCTGGGGCCCATGCAAGCATCTCAGGAGAGGAAAATCAACTTTCCTGGACCCAGCCCTGGCTTTCCAGTGAGATCCCACAGCCTCCGCAGGCTGCTGGCATCCACTCTGGAAAGGACATATGGGTGGTAAACAGACTGTGTGTGCCCTGCAGCCTCCACAGGGCAAAGGCCTGGCCCTTGCCGTAGGAGCAGATCTGACGCATGCATAGTGGTTCTGGTGCATAACCACCCAGAACATGGTGCAGAGGAGCCTGGGCCTTCGGGACCTCTGAGTCACAGAGCAGCCAAAGAACTCCCAAGGGCTCTGAAGGTGGGACAGGGACGGGGAGCTGCAGTGCCATGGTACCACTGCCTCTTCCCTCCCATACAAGGAGCTCTTCTGTATGGCCTGGCGCCTCAGGTTCCTATGGCCCTGGCATAGACAATAAGAAATAGCCTGCCTCGCTTCTTTTGCCCCCAGTAAGCACTCAAAATGAGAGTCGTCCATTCTCCTAGGCCAAGCAACTAGGCAGATACCAGTTCACAGGTGAGTGGAGGCTCGTACCAGCCTGCCCTGCCTGCCAGCTTCACCAGAGTCTGGGCACTCTTAGGCCCCTCCATTATGCCGTGGGTCCTCCAGACCTAATTTTGGACTATCACTAGCACCCAGCCACCCTCTCCAGCGGGCTGAGACCCCATGTGAGTGAGGACAGGCTGTGATGAGAAGGGAGTGGCACTCCCAGTCAGGCAGAGAGCACCCTGCAAGTGAGCACATTTGGTCAAGACAAGGAAGGGCTGCTACAGAAATCTAAGTGGATATCTGACACTGGGGCAGTGGAACTCCACCCCTCTGGAAGATGGACTGTAGGATGATTGAATCCTCCCTCACCAGGTTTCTTCTTCCCAGATTAGAAGAGTTTTAAAGTCAACAACAGAGGCTAGTTCTGGAGCAAACCAGCCCTAAGCTGCAGTGACCCCGAAACAGAAGCTACGAAGGCAGGAGCTCATACCTGTAATCCCAGCAATTTGGGAGGTCGAGGTAGGAGGATCATTAGAGGCCAGGAGTTTGAGGCTGCAGTGAGCTATGATCATGCCATTGCACTCCAGCCTGGGCAACAGGACAAGACTCTGTCAAGAAGAAAGAAGAAATAAGGAAGAAGGAGGAGAAGGAGGAGGAAGAGGAGGAGGAGGAGAAAGAAGAAGAGGAGGAGGGGGAGGAAGGGGGGAGGAGGAGGAGGAAGGGGGGAGGAGGAGGAGGAGGGGGAGGAACAGCAGCAGCAGCAGCAGCAAAGAAGAGAACAGCATCTTTAGAAAACCAGCTATTCTGGGGGAAGAAAAGCAGCAAAAAATGATGATAACCTCATTATCCTTGGAACCTAATAAGACTCTAACCAGATCATAGCTGCCAAGAGAGGGGGTTAATGGTATTCAGAAGTTACAATTGAGGTGATGGCAGCTGGAATATTAGCAGGACCTTCCAAAGAAGGCAGAAGAGAAATTTAAGAGGCGGTGGTGAGCAGGCATCATCTTTCCTAGAGATCAACACCAAAAAGATTACGATACAGACCTAGGAGGGAGAGAGTCCAGCTTCCAGATTCCAGACAGGGGGCCGGGAGGGTACATAATTCTAAGAGCCCTATCAGTCCTTCCCTGAAACAGAGAGAATTCACCTACAGAAACACAAGGAAGGGAGGGTCTAGCCACCCCTCCCCCCAATACCACTCTCACGGTCTGCTGGCAACCCATCTTTGTGGGCGCAAGCCCCGGCATCCATGGCAGGGTCATTTTTACAAGGTGCTTACACCCCATGCCTCCCGGTGCTTTTGACACTGCCTGAAGGGACACTGCCAAGGCTCCTGGGAGCACAACAGGAGGCCCTTGGGCGCAATCCTGGAGCCAAGTTCAGCTGTTCCCCCAGCTGGAGCCCAGCCTCCTGACTGTGCACCCCAGCTGGCTCTAGGGACTTGGGGAGGGAGCCTTCCACTTCTCTTTGGAATAAGGGGCCTGGATTAGCAATATTTCCCAACTATGATTTGAGGAATTCTGATCCCACTAGATGCTCCATGGCAAGAGGTTTCACTGGACAAATAATCCTGGGAAATGCTGCAACTCTGCCAACCCTCTCGGAGCTCTCTGTTCTCCTTAGCATAGTAGAGGCTTCGAGCAGCCTACAGTGAGGAGGAGAGGGAAAGCAGCTTCACTTTGGTGATGTTTTGTACTGGCCTCCACACATGAATTCTGTTCTATGTGCTTTATCTCAAACCCTCTAGGAAGGCACTATTGTAACCTCATTTCATAGAGCCATCCTCTGGGTGGTTCTGTGCTGCTCCTCTTGGCCCAGAGTGTCTCCAATGTCCTGTTCAAGCCTGGGACACTTGTCGTGAGCACGGCTTTAGAAATTCTGGACAGGAGGACCTCTAAGACTAATTAGACGCTTTCCTCACACTGAGACGAGTCCCATTAAATTAGTGGGGGGCAGGGGGAGGGGAAGAGACTGAGAGACAGACCGAGAGAGAAAGAGAGCAAGAGAGACACACATCAAGACAGACACACACAGCTGTAGAGAGAGACACAGAGAGAGATGTGGAAAGACACTGAGAGACACATACAGAGATACTGAGAGACAGAGACACAGACACAGAGACACTGAGAGACAGAGACACAGACACAGAGACACTGAGAGACAGAGAGAACATGAGACACTGAGAGACACAGACACTGAGAGACACATACAGAGATACTGAGAGAGAGACTGAGACAGAGAGAGACACTGAGAGACAGAGACACAGACACAGAGACACTGAGAGACAGAGAGAACATGAGAGAGACACTGAGACAGAGACACTGAGACACAGAGACACTGAGAGACAGAGACACAGACACAGAGACACTGAGAGACAGAGAGAACATGAGAGAGACACTGAGAGACAGAGACACTGAGAGACAGAGAGAACATGAGAGAGACACTGAGACACAGACACTGAGACAGAGACACTGAGAGACAGAGAGAACATGAGAGAGACACTGAGACACAGAGACACTAAGACACAGAGACAGACATACACACAGAGAGAAGGTAGTGGGGAGAGGGGAGTGCAGCCACGGTTGTGAGGAGAACCGGCCGAGACAAGCTTTGTGAGTGAGCTGGTGCTTTGGAGGGGAGATGAAGGTGGCTTGAGTGGGGGATCTCAAACCCACCTGGGCCATGCCAGATCCCCCTTGGAATGTGTTTCCATTCACAAGCTGAGGAGGGCAGCGGCCGTGCCTGTGAGAGAGGAACTCTCACGGAGGAAACAGGCAGATCCTCATCACCCTCTGGCTCCTTATGGGCAGCTTGGCCTGGGTGAGGAGGACCCCCGAGTCCACCTGGGAAATCTCAGCCGCCTGCTAGAGAGGGCAGCTTCGGGGCTAGGGAAGTAGGAGAACTAGGGCCAGAATTGTAGGGGCAAGGGAGCGCGTGCTCAGTGACAGACCCAGGCTGAGTGTGAACGACCCATTCCCCTCCACCCCGCCCTTTCCTCCAAACCACTCACATGCCTGCCCCCCTCAGCCCTGAACACCCAGCCCCAGCCTGCACAGAAGACCTGCAGTCTGGGAGCAGGCAGGCTCAGAGCCCTGCAGGTGGCAGGTGGGGGGTTGGTTCTGTCCATCTTTGGATCCCCACCCCCAGCCCTGTCCGGGACATTTGTCCTCAAAGGAGCTTTATTTGGTCTTCTCTCCATTTCTGTGCAAGCCTAGTGAGAAGCCACGGCCAGCAAGAGGAAGCAACGGTCATCTGCTTGGACCTCATTTGAGAAGGGCTGAAATGGGCTACCTGTGCCCAGACTTCCCTCCCACGCAGTATGTCAGAGTCTGGCCACTAGGAGAAGGTCTGAGAATGTTAAGGTTTGAAGAGACCCAAAAGCCTAGCCTTCCAGCAGAAGCCTCCGTCCCTACAGGCTGGGGCAAAGAGGGCGGACCCCAGGTGGCAGCACGCGGGTCACATTTGTCTCACACGATTTGGCAACTGGTAACTCTAAGCACTGTGGCCCAAGGGTTGGGAGTTCCTACTCAGAAGTAAGACTGCCGGGATCTACATCCCGGTTCTGCCACTTCCTATCTGAAAAACACATGCCTCCGTTTCGTTCTCTATAAAACACAGCCCCATCACCAGGCTGAAGGCAGACTCTTTGGGGCAGATCCTTCACCAGCCCATTTTGCAGATGAGAAAACTGGGGTGAATGAGCCGGCACTGGGACCCCAGGTGCTTCACTCCAAGCACAGAGATCTTGCCGCTTCAGCAGGCCAACTTCCCTCCCCAGGGAAGACTGGGAAACAGTAACCGGAGAAGCGGGCAGGAGGGACTCAGAACCCTGCCCGGCCCCCAGGAGGGTCTCTGCCCGGGTGCCAGGCTCAAAGCTGGCCAGTCCTGCCATTCCTCTTGCCTCTGGTTTTTCCGAATTCTGCCTCTCCCCCTGGAAAGCCATTGCAGGCAGGGCTCTCCCAAGCCTCGTTTACAAAATTATAAGCTTCCTTTGTCCCCAGTCTCCTCTGGTTACAATAACACTCATCGGCTCTCCAGAGCTTTCAGGGGCATGGAAAATGTGACTTCACTCCTCAAGGATTTCTGATTTAACAAAATGGCATTGGGGAAAGAAAATGAAAAAGAATGTCTCTGTCCATCCCTGATAGAAAAGGCAATAGGGCTCCAGCCTCCCAGCCCAGAGTCAGGGCCAAGAGCTCCCAGAGGGCCCAGAAGGCACAGACAGAGGACCCTCAGTCCCTCTTGCACCCCACAGACTGGAAATCAGCCTCTCTGGGTGGTGTCTAAGGGGAACAGGGAGGGAAAGGGTCACTGAAGACAGGTGTCAAAGGCAGGAAATAAATACATTCTGTCTTGCCATTCCCCAGTTTGGCAACTTTATTATTCCTTACCTTCTTTATTCAGTCAGTCCATCAGTCACTTGTCCTAAGTGCTTAAAATGAGTGACTTTGGTGTCCAACCACCGGGGACAGTATTCTGGCTCTGCCATCTTTCCAAGCCTCAGTTTTCTCATCTGCAAAATAGAGACAATACAGTCTGGACCTTACAGGGCTGCTGTGAAAACTAATGAGATAACCTGTGCCAAGGACTTCACACCAGGCCAGCAGATCAGAAGCTCTCGAGACAGGGTAGCTCTTGGTGCTGTCATTCATCCCCGCAAACCTCTTGTCAAGCAGAGCAAGGTGTCTGAGGCTGTACTGTTGGGAGTACCCATCTCATGGCACCTGCAGTCTAGATACCCAGCCCTGGAGACTCCTAGCTGGCCCATTACTTTAAGTCCTGAACACCAGGACTAGTCCAATAGGTAGACTCACAGGGTAAGGAGAAGGGCTTAGTGAGTGCTTGCTGCATACAAGACACTGTGCAGGTGCTAGGGAAAATTCTGAAATAGCAACTATAAATCAAACTCCACGATTTCAGGTATATGAGAAATATAATTTTTAAAAAATTTCTTTAAATCAAGTTAAATCCATCTCTGAGCCCCCATCCCACCTGAGACAGGAAATTCGGTTCTGGTCATTAACAGAACCCACCCATCCTCTCTCTCACCAGCATCATTGGAAGGGGTGCATGCGTGGTCACTGGCCATTTGTCCCCAGTGGGGACAAATGAGATACCTGATGCAAGGCCACACAGTACCCAGGAGCCCAGGGGCTCTGCTGCTTCTGTGCCAACCACTGCCAGAGAAAGCTGGTCACAGACACATCACAGTCAGCCCTCTGAGGTCCTGCCCACCCTGGGCATTGCCAGGGAAAAGGGTGCTGTGCTTCCTGGACTCTTCCCTCAAAGGCACTCACATCTCAAGTAACTCAGGCTCCCCGAAAGGAAGAAAAAAGAAAAGAAAGCAATTCCTACTCCCTGGCCTGCAGCAGCAGACTCCCAAAGCAGGGCTCCCAAAGGAGCAGGCTGTTTACATGGGAGTTGGGGGCAGTGGAGACAAAAACATAGGGATAACAGAAAATGAATCGTTGTATCTCAGAGATGGCCCCTCTAAAGAGGTGACTTCCAGGGGCTCCTAACAAGACACTTGTACCTCCTCCACCTTCTACTCCTACCCCATCACCCACAGGCAGAGGAAGCAGCAAACCACGTGGTGACATTTCAGGTCTAACAAAAAGCCCTCCAGGAAGTAAATCAATCTCCCCAAAGCTTCCTGAACACCTACACTCTCCTTCCTCTAAGGCAGATGTCCTGGAGAGGTCTCTGTCAAAAGAGATCTGTTGACTTACCACTGTCACCTTGCTGAGGCCAGGGCAACAGGGAAGATAAGTGTTACCTGGGAAGCAATACTTATCCAATAAGGGAAATAGGTATTTATTTAGCATCTACTAGGTACCACCAGGTGATTTCACAAACATCCTACCTGCTCATCACAACCATGCAAAATGAGTACTTCATTCCGTTATTGATAAGGAAACAAAGGTCCTGGGAAAGGGGCCAAGGTCACAGAGCTGTATTATGACAAAGCTGAGAACACTCAACCAATATTTAATAATAATACTATCACTTAGGGTACTATTATCATTCCCATTTTATAGAAGAGACTCTGAGGCACAGCAATTAAATGATCTGTAAGGGCCAAGAAGGCTGCCCCTGAGGCCTGAGCTATTTACCCCCTCATTTTTCTGCCTCTGCATGAGAAGCAACTGGTTGGAAAGTCCCACCAGTTCCGGGAATTCATGTTCTGCCCAGATTCCTGCAAATGAGTAGGGAAGCACTACCAAGGATTCTGGTGCCTTTGCATAGGACTTAAAGATTCACATTATTTTGAAATAAAGTTTTGCAAAGAATACAAATGCAAATATTTAGAAAGTAATTACAGAGTATTGCTTTGGGCAGCAAAAGACAAAAACCCCTACGTGCCTCACTGCCTTCTCCTACTCACCCCCCGCATCAATTCAAAGGCCTGGAATTCCTGCCTCTGTTCAATAAGCAGAGATGGCTCTAAAGAGAGGACCCAACGTGCTCAGCAGTTGTGGATAAAGGAACACCAACAGCCAGAGACGGAAAGATCCCTTCGTCGGACAGATGAGAAAACTGAGGTCCGCGTGACGGAACAACTTGCCCAGGGTCAGGCACCTGCGTAGGCACCTGGACACATGTGCGTGTACACGCACGCAAGGCCACGCACGCTGGGGCTCTGGCCGGCACGGCCCTCACGTGTCCTCACGCACGTATTCCCCGCATCGGTTCCCCCAGCGAGCCCCTGCCCGGGCCTCCGGAGCTGCTCACACGCAGGTGAAGACTGCCCCCTGGTGGGCGGGAGCCCTCTGGAGGTTTGCAGGGCCAACGTCCTGCGCCTGTAATCCCTGAAAGGGGCTCCTCTGGAATCATCCCCAGGCCCTGGGGCCAGGATCGAGGCTGCTCTGGGAACTGGGCTTACATGGGTATGGGTTGGGACCTCTGGGGTCTTAGAACCAGGGAAATAATAAAGCAGGGGCTTGATGTTGCAAGTTTAGTCCCTGGAAGCTGATTGAAAATGGAGATGAGCAACAGGAAATTTTTGGGGGGTGCTTTCTAGAGCTCAACACCTCTTCCAAGGAAGGGACACAAGCAGGGCTGGGCAGAGAGAGAACGTCGGCTGCAGCACAGTCACCTGAAGGCCGGGAGCACAGAAGTTAGGATGGCCCTCTGGGACTAACAGGTTTAGCAAATAAAAATACAGGATGCCCAGTTAAATTTGAATTTCAGATACATGTGAAAGTTTTTTGTATAAATATGTTCCATGGAAGGAGAGGAGGGTGTCTGTGCAAAAGCAGTGGGAGTTGGGGGTTGCAGTGGTGATGCAGACTGCTTACATATAGAGAGATGGAACAAACAGGTAGAACAGTCACCCACCACACTCGTGGTTTCTGTGGATTAAACAAACTGTGGATTGAAAATATTGGGGGGAAAATGGTCGGTTACGACTGCACCAAACATGTACAGGCTTTTTTTTCTTGTCATTATTTCCTAAACACTATAGTATGACGATTATTTATGTAGCATTTACATTGTATTATGTATTACAAGTAATCTACAGGTTACAGGAGGATATGTGTAAGTTACATGCAAATACTACACCGTTTTACATAAGGCATTTGAGCATCCATGGATTTTGGTATCTGAGGGAGTTCTGAAAAAAATCCCCCGTGGATACTGGGGCACAATTATACTAGGGATAATAGGAGCCATGTTTCTCACTACTGGACATGAGAGTAGGAAATACGGAAAAAAGAAAACAAGAATAAACCCAGTGGAATTTGAGATATTGGTGTGAGCTCAGTTTGCAATATATAGAGGTATAAAATACAGATATAAATGCATGAAGGACTATTATGGACTGCATGTTTGTATGTAGAACTACTGTGGACTGCATATTTGTATCCCTCTCCCAAATTCATACATTTAAACCCTAACCCCCAATGGGGTAATATTAGGAAGTTGAGCATTTGCAAGGCAGTTAGGTTTAGATGAGGTATGAGGGTAGAGAACCCCATGATTGGACTGTATCTTTTAAGAAGAGAGAGAGACTAGAGCTTGCTCTCTCCACCATGTGGGGATACAGTGAGAAGATAGTCATCTGCAAACCAGGAAGTGGACTTCACCAGACATGGATTCTGCACCCTGATCTTGGACTTCCCAGCCTCCAGAATTGTAAGAAATGCATTTCTGTTGTTTAAGCCACCTAGTCTATGGTATCTTGTTATAGAAGCCCAGAGTAAGAAAATGGGACTCTAGATATAAAGTTGGAATGTGTGTGTGTATAGTTTGTTTGCTTGTATGTATATCTATATCTACATATGTAGATATATGAGGATATATGTAGCGACACATATATTCTCTATCTCTACTGAGAAGGTGTGGGAATAGCAACACCCTAATAACAATGACTACATTCCTTGGTTTCTAAATACTATTCTGTGATAAAAGAAACCAGAGCTCCTTGCAGAAATAGCCACTTCTAAGACCAGAGCTGAAAAAGTACTGCCAATTACTAAGTGACAGTGACAGTTATTACAATTTCCAACTATGATTGTTGATTACTCCCTTTAGTTGTTTCATTTTTTGTTTCATGTATCTTGAAGTGCTAGTATTAAATACATACACATTTAGAATTGATATCTCTTCTCAAGGAATTGACCCCTTTATCATCTGCATTAGTCACTTTGGCCTGCCTAACAAAATGCCACAGACCTAGTGGCTTACACAACAGAAGTTTACTTTGTTACTGTTCTGAAGGCTGGAAAGTCCATGATCAAGGTGGCAACAGGGTTGGTTCTGGTGAAGCCTGTCTTCTCTCCTTGGTTTATAGATGGCCACCTTGTTGTGTCTTCATGTATTAGTCTGTTCTTACATTGCTAATAAAGACATACCTGAGACTGGGTAATTTATAAAGGAAAGAGATTTAATGGACTCACAGTTTCACATGGCTTGGAAGGCCTCACAATCACACAATCATGGTGGAAGATGAATGAGGAGCAGAGTCACATCTTACATGGCGGCAGACGAGAGAGCTTGTGCAGGGGATCTCCAATTTATAAAACCATCAGCTCTCATAAGACTTATTCACTACCATGAGAACAATATGGCGGAAACCACCCCCATGATTCAATTATCTCCACCTGGCTCCACCTTTGACATGTTACAATTCAACGTGAGATTTGGGTGGGAACACAGCCAGACCATATCACTTCACATGGTATTTCTTCCATGTATGCAGAGAAAGATCTCTCGTGTCTCTTCCTCTTCTTATATGGATACCAGTCCTATTGGCCCCATCCTTATGGCCTCCTTTAACTTTAATTTTGTAAAGGCTCTATCTCCGAATACAGACACTTTGATGGTTAGGACTTCAACATATTAATTTTGAGAAAACACAATTCAGTTCAAAAAATAATCTGTACCATTATGACCCATGATCATCTTTATCTTCTCCTCTATTTTGTCAGATATTAATATAGCTATACCAGCTTTTTCATGTTTGATGCTTGCATAAATAGCTTTTTCCATTCTCTTACCTTTGTCAGTGTGTTAATACTTAACACGCATCTGTTCTAAACAGTGTTTTTCTGTGTCTTGCTTTTTAATTGTCTGACAAACTCTGCATTTCAATTTCAGTGCTTAGTCTTTTATTAATTAAATTATTGATGTGGTTTGCTTTAATTCTACCATCTTGCTACTTGTTTTATCTGTTCCCTCTATTCTTCATTCTTTTGTTTCTCCTTTCCTGTCTTAATTGAGTACTTTTTAGTATTATGTTTTCTCTGTTGGCTTTTTAATCATACCTCTTTGTGGTTTTTTTGTTTTTTGTTTGTTTGTTTGTTTTTTGCAGAGACGAGTGAACATTTATTTTTGTACCTTTCTTCCTATGCGTATTTCAAGACTTTTTCAAAACAAGATCCCAGGAATCTCCAGATTCAGTTACGTCCCTGGGCTTGATTGACTGCTGCAGGAGTCTTAGTGAGCCTTGTACAAATGCTAGAGTTATTCATTTACCAACATTAAACCCTAGGATAGAAGATGCAACAAAAGCAGGTTTCCTTCGTCCATGGAATATGCTGATTTCAGATGAGGCAACAGCCAATGTAGAAAATGCTGTAATTTTTCCTTGGAACTGGACTGTGATGAGAGGTGCTTGCCATGAACATAGCTAGTCTTTTCTTTGACCCTTCCTTTCCAGTTTTTGAAGATAAAGCAGGAAATAATCTTCTCTGAAGATACTTGATAAAAATTCCCCCCAAAAAAACAAAAACACATGCTTCCACTTCACTGATAAAAATTTACTGCAGTTTGACACCTGGGTCTAGTTCAGCTGGCAGATGAGCTGATTGATGTGTTCACCCCATAGCCAGGTGTGCCCATCTCCTTGAGGAAGCCCACTCTATTTTTGGTAGCATGACAGGCCACTGAGAGGTGGAAAGGGCACAAGAACCATGAGATCTCCTGGAAGTGCTTCCCTGGGAAGGCAATTTCATGAATGAGGTCTTCCAAGCAAATGACACCAAATTTCAAACTTCCCTAGGTGCTCCTCAATCAGTGTTGTCTGTCAGAGGGATGGTCTTATTCTTGACCTTGGCTTGTCCACGTTTGAAAATGAGTTCCCAGACAGACTTCAGATTTGGAAATCCCTAGGTCACATAAGGTTCCACTATATGCAGCATTTTTAGGTTCTGGGGGGTGACTTTTACAAGACACCACTAAAAATTTTCTTTAGGCAAAGTCTTGCAATGGTTCTCTGCACCAGTAAACATGCCATCAATCCTTTCGATGTGTACAACAAAGGCCAAGGAATGTTTATCTGGTGATTCCAAGGCATGAAGTTTCACTTCTAGTCGTCTGAGACACACCTTGTCACGTTTCTGCCTCCAGGAATCATGTAGAAATGATTCCAGTCACTTAAACCTGAGCCCTTTTCCTTTCCTCTGCCCCTTCTTTGCCAAAAGTGCCTGCTTTGCCTGGGTGGCTTCAAGGGCTTGATAAGCCTTCCTGTTTTCCAGGAGATTTTCTGGGACCAAAGGGATTTTTCTTTGCTCTTGCTCCACCATCTTTCTAGTGTTACAACTACCTGTACTTTTTATTTTAGTAATTGCTTTAGAGGTTACAATAGGCATTCTTATCAGACTTTATCTTGAAATAATATACCATACACATAATCTGAGATACTTGACATAGTATAACCTCATTTACCTGCAATCCATCTTTTGTGTTATTATTGCCATATACATATTTCTGCATGAATTATAAACTCCCCAATACAATGTTATTATTTTTAAATGAAAATGTTAACTTTTGAATAATTCAAGAAAATAAAAATATAGGGTTGTATTTATTCACGTTTCCCATATGCCATATTCTTCAATCCTTCCTGTAGATCCAGATTCTCTCTAGTAGCATCTCTCTTCAGCTTAAAGAACTTCCTTTAGCATTTAGTGTAGTACAAGTATGCTGTTGGAAAATTCTCTCTGCTTTTATGTTTAACTTAATATACCTTTATTTGTCTTCATTTCTGAAAGTTATCTTCACTGAATATTTAATCCAACATTGATACTATATTTCTTTCTGCAATTTAAAGATGTTATTCCATTGTCTTCTGGCTTTCAATTTTTATGATGAGAAGCCAGCTATAATTCTTATCATTGTTCTCCCATATATAATGTGCATTTTTATTTAGTTACTTTTAAGAACTTTTTTTC